CACAGCCACAGCTGGGCTCCTCTGCCAGCCCCCAGAGCCAGGCCTTCTGCTCCCAAAACAGCTGCACTGGACCCACTCACCCCAGTTTCCAAAAACTCAGCCTCCTGAGAGGCGACGCCCCTTCTGCTCCTGCTCTGGGGCTGACTCAGAGTCTCTGCCTTAGTCACCCTCATGCGCCGAGGTCAGCCCTGACCACCTCCCCCCACACACCCATGTGTCACTGCTTCCTTCTCTCCTCATTCCTCCTGGGAGGCTTCGTTTGGCCATCAGAGCCCCGCCCACCTCAATGACTTTCACCTCTGCTTTCCTCTCTCGACTGAAGTCACTCCCCACCCCCGTGCGGTGGGTGTCCTCCTACTCACTTGGGAGTGTGGACGCACCGGGGAGTGCCGAGTTCCTCGTGAAATCTCATTAGAGCGAGGTTGTATCTTCCCACGTGCTGTTAGTCTCGGTTCTTAGCTTGGAAGTCCCTTCCACACTGCCGGTACCCAAGAGTGACTCTCAATGGACAGCTGCTCTTACGGTGTAGACAACCTCACTTCTTTATTCCGACACAGCTCCAGGTCTTTCCGGAACTTTAGGGACGTTTCTACCTAAAAGTAGGGTCACCTCCAAAGAATCAAATAGAGCATAAGCTTGCTTCCATCTCAAAGATGCAACATGAGATTTGAATTATGGGTCTTGTTCAAGTCATTCAGGGAGCTATTGATTAATCTATTCTCAGTGGGCTGCAGAAGCACCATATGTTGTGGTTAAACATCGCCAAAGGACAGGGAAACAAAATACCAAAATGTTAATGAAACACAAGGGAACCTGGCTACACAGACCTACGGGTGTGACTGTAAGCTGGGGTGGCATTTTCCCTAGTGGCACTAAATGGCTGTGGATGTGCCAGGCATGTCTTGTTACTCAGACTAGGGTGAAGGGACAGGCATCATTCTTGGGTATGTCAATCAAATCAGGGGAAATTAACTAAAACAAGACATTATTCTGACGTAGAGACACTTTAAAATCCATGCATAGGAGAGGGCTTCGAAAGGATCATGGAAAATGCAAGTTGGGAAAACAATCTGCCTAAGCTTCAACCTTTTTGCAAAAAAATAAACATCTTTTAATTCCATTTTCCCATGATCTCATTGAACTGCCCCCATGACATGAGTGTCAGGTGTCTCTTAGTATTGATTTTGGTGGGTATTTAAGCTCCTTTTATTTTTGACACTCATTTTCTTCTCGAAACATCTTTTAGGCTTATTCCTACCAATGAATCTCTGAATGAAATTCAACATTTCATATCAGATGCCATCAACCAGAAGTCAGACGTTGCTCTGTGAATTTTCCACCAGATCTTTTTTATTCCCTCTCCTTTCTTAAATGTTTTTTTATTTTTATTTTATCTGACAGGCAGGAGCCAGGAACTCTATCCAATCTCCCATGTGGGTGGCAGGGGCTCAAGCATTGGAGTCACCATCTGCTGCCTCCCAGGATATGTTAGCAAGAAGCTGGATGCTAGAGGACCCGAGACTCAAACAGGTGCTCCAGTATGTAAGGTTGCACCGCGGCACCTGCCCCTCCATCTGATCTTTGCATCTGAACAGCTTCAGCTAGCAGGGCACCCACCATGGTGCGTGCATTGGTCTAGTGAGCAGGTGGCAGTGCCACAGAGCAAGCCTGGGGCAATGCCCACGTGCTCTGGCGAGGGTTGGAAAACCCATAGAACTAGAGGCCAGTGGAGCAGGCTGCAGGAACACAGCAGCCTCAGCCCATTTTGGAAATAGTGGGCTCCTGAACTGTCTGCCCTCGTCTCCTGCACTTGTCACCCAGAACACCTGTGCCCTGAGACCCAATACAGAGCCAGCTCTAACTGCAAGCCATGGCTGAGCCTGGTCAATGCATTGCCCTTCAAACTGCAAATAAAGGGGTTCGTGGTTACAGTGCTCCCTGACACCCGCAGAGGGTCGTTCGCAGCCAGCTGCTCAGAAGTGCTGGTGACCTGGGGATGGGGGCGGCCTTGCCTCCACCCGTGAGCCTGCCCTAACACTGCACCCCGGTGCCGTGGCTCAATCCTCATGTGGTGCTTGTTCCTCATGGGTAGCAATAGCATTTCCATGGAGCCTAAAGGCGCCGTCCTGTAGATTTTGAATCTCTAGTTAACCCAATGGAAAGCTCAGGCAAGGAACTGTGGTGCTGTATTGCTTAGGGAATACCAAAAAGAGAAAGATCTGTGCATGTTCAGTACTGACACACTTTCCAAATGCTTCCTACCCACGGTTGAATCCAAGGGCGCAGAGCCCACAGGGGTAGAGGGCCGGCTGTATGCAGAGACACCTTCCCTTCCAACCTTGGTTATTGAAACTAACTCCAAGCTCATCGAGGTCATCATCGCTGTGCCCCCTGGAACTACTCAGATGTATAATTGCTCTGTGTCAACATGTGTGCCGCCAGCGGAGTACTCTGAGAATGAACACATGTCCCGTGAGCCACCAGAGACCTGGCAGGGGCTCCCGGCATTTTCACTGCTGTTGCAAAGCCCCGCTTTTCGACCCCAGCTCCTCTGAGGGGTCAGGGTGTGCATGCAAGATCTCAGGACAATCCTGGCCCTTCTTCTTAGGGCAACCACCTTCTTTGCCTCTCACTTCTTTCCTGAAATGGTGGGGGCAGCAGAGGCCACCCCGGTCCACTGGGGATGCCTGGTGATTGACAGCAGATGCTATCTGGGTTGTTGTGGATTGCACGAACAGGGAGAAGGCCTTGGGATCACCGCCTAATCAAAGCACCCAATGCAGCGGGCAGCCGAGGTAGCAGTTAAGTTGCCACTTGGGACTCCGGTATCCCCTATCCAAGTGCCTGGTTAGAGTCCCGGCTCCTCTGCTTCCAACCCAGCTGCCTGTTAATGCACAGCCTAGGAGGCAGTCGATGACAGCGCAAGGACGTGGGTCCCTGCCACCCACACGGGAGACCTGGATAGAGTTCCGGGTTTCAGCTTGGCTCAACCCTGGTTGTTGCAGGTACTTGGGGAGTGAACCAATGAGTGGAGATCTTTCTGTGTCTGTCTCTTTGGCCTTTCAAATAAAACGAAAATAAAAAGTGCCCATGGCACAGGGGGGAGGCTTGATGAGTCCTGCTTTCAGCACTAGGACACGGTTAGAAGGACTGTTCAGAGCTTCAGCCTCCCAGCCTGGGACGCATGGAGCACGCTCTGGATTAGAATCCAGATTCTTCCAGAAACTCACAGTGAGGCAGAACTCAGGAGGGTGGTGCACCTCTCTGCTTCCGTTCTTTGCCCATTAAATGGGTTTAAGAAGAACACCTGCCTCATGGGACAGCTGGGTGACTAAGGAAGAGAATGATAAAAGCATTTACACATTGTAAAGGGGAAGAAACGGTAACTGCTGATGGAGACATCGTTTATTCTTTAATGTTTGTTTCCAGATGAAAATAGCTGTCCTTCACTGGAGAGACTGGCCCTGAACTTGCCAAGGCAGACATTGAAATAGGCAGGCAGAGAGACATGAGACACTTGATCTGCGGGATCAGAGAGGTATGACAGGTCAGAGGTCAGACAGGAGTCCAGCCAGGGAGCCTCGGGAGCTGTCCAAGAGCTACAGGAGCAGGGATGCGATTGCTCTCTCCCCTTGGCATTGTACGTCCCGAGCAACACCCAGATGCAGGCGCTGGGGCTGTGCAAATGAGAACAAGACGGAGCTGACTCAGGGAAGGAAGCCTGTTTTTAATGGAAGAAAAGGCCCTTCCCTCCCAGAGGATGGCCCTGTGGCCTTGCTCAACTCAGACTGGCTTTGGCAGGGCCTGTCTCCCTTCCGTCCCTCCCAGGACATGTGGTCTGCACCCCCAGCTCCCAGGTCGCCCTCATCCCAGGCTCCCTGTTCTGGCACCTAATTTGCCCCCACTTTCTCGACAACAGCTATGTTTGGAACGTGGTTTGTCTTCACCAAAATGCGTGTGGAGGCCTCATGCCTCGGGTCACAGCATGGAGGTGGTGGTGGCTGTGGCTTCTGGAAGGATCTGCCTGCATAAATGAGTTCATGGTTTCCTCCAGAGCCTGGCTTACTTCTCTTGAGACTGGATTAGGTCTTGCAGGAATGGATTAGAGACCACAAGGCAGGTAGCTACAAAGCGAGTTCAAGTCTTGCCTGTCTCACTGTGGATCTCTCTCTCTCTCTCTCTGTCCTCCAGGCTCCCCTAGTATGGTGCTGTCTACTGTGAGGCCCTCATGAGAAGCCAACACCAGCACCATGCTCTTGGGCCCTCGCAACCATGAGCCAAAATAAACCATTTTCCCCTACAGAGCACCAGCCTCAGATACTTTCTTTCTTTTCTTTTCTTTTTTTCTTTTTTTTCTTTTTTATTTTTTGACAGGCAGAGCGGACAGTGAGAGAGAGAGAGACAGAGAGAAAGGTCTTCCTTCTGTTGGTTCACCCTTCAATGGCCGCCGCAGCTGGAGCGCTGCGGCCGGCGCACTGCGCTGATCCGAAGGCAGGAGCCAGGTGCTTCTGGTCTCTCATGGGGTGCAGGGCCCAAGCACTTGGGCCATCCTCCACTGCACTCCCGGGCCACAGCAGAGAGCTGGCCTGGAAGAGGCGCAACCGGGACAGAATCCGGCGCCCCGACCGGGACTAGAACCCAGTGTGCCAGCGCCTCAAGGTGGAGGATTAGCCTAGTGAGCCGAAAATGGACTAGGACAGCAAGCAGGGGAGCAGCCGAGCCTGGTCAGTCTGTGCCACCCTCTGGAGCCAACATGCCCAGGGACACAGCGGTCTCGTGACTGCCTTGGGGGTTACGACCTCCTGCACAGAGCGGTGACACTCTCCAAGTTCACCGCTCCTCCTCTTTGGCACCGCCTTTTTTTTTTTTCCTCCTGATGCAAGCTGGGCATGAGCTAAAAAGAGTATTGTCTCAGCAGTGGCTCTGTGTACCTTTCCCTAGGAACCTGCCCCCTACGGAGCTTCCCAGGCTTACCCTGTGCCCCCAAAACATGATGATGCAACCAGTCACTGGCAGGTCCCCTCGTGCCTCAGCCAGCACAAAGGTCTTTGTCCGAGGTCAAAACAGCCACTGCTTCTGGCTTTCCAAGAAGAGGCGAGCGGGAGCAACCCCCGAGAGTGGGAACAGGCAGGAGCTTGTCGGGAGTGTTTTCACACGCAGGGAAGATGGGGCCTGGGTGGTTGCAACGCCAAGGTAAGCAGACGCACCAGCACCTCGTCAGAGCCCCGGGGGGCGGGAAAGGGAAGCTGGGAGCCGAGCCGAGTTTCCACCGCTCACGCGGACGGACGGAGTCCAATTCGCAGCCCCAGCTGCAGACACCTCCCCAGACGGCCTAGCCTCGGGGCCGTGGAGATGCCAGACTGGGGTTTCTGGTGCCGAAGCAGAGAGGGAGCGAGGAGATGTTAATCAGCTTAAGGGGAGGGATATTCACATCATGGCTCTTCCCAGATCATGTTCTCCCAAACCTCCAAATAATGCATGCACCACACGCGTGACATACACATGCACATACATGCACACACACATGCACACACACATGCACACGCACACACACACGCACAGGGGCTGCCACCACTGCTTGTCTCCTCCCAGGTTTTGAAGCAACATCAAAGTGCTGAAATTGCCCTTTGCTATTCCTCCCAGAGTAGGAGCTATGCCACACACATTCACATGCAAAGTCAGGATTAAAAACAGGGTCCGCCCGCTGTGCCTGCCCTGCCCGCTCCTTTGTGCCAGGCTCAGAGAGAGCCTGTCCCCAGATGGGCAGGCAGGGACACTCTGGCTTCACAGGGCACACCCGATTGCAGGCACTCGCTCTTCAGGGCAGCGTCATGGACAAATTGAAAACAGCACACGGATCAGCTCTGTGCCTTTCAGAGCGGGCCGGCGTCTCTAACAGGCTTTTCAAAGGACGCAGGGCATGGCCCACAGGAAGGACCTGCACAGTGCCCACCCAGGCTCTGCACTCCAGCGTGGACCTGAGTGTCCACTTCCTCCCAGTGTCACATTAGTTCCAACAGTCCGGCTGCCCGAGGACACCCTGGGTGAGTCCCGAGAGGAAACATGGCTGTCAGTGGGGAGCACCGGCATCTCACCTGGAATTCCGACCCCCGCCCCATCCTCCCTCCCTGCCGGGGCCAGTGTCCTTGGCTCTGTCATCTGCAGACCCATCCCAGCCCCGCCCATCTCCCCCACCCACCACGGACTGCATGGCGATCCAGGCTGCCTGCCACAGGCCTCTGTGGGAGCCCACGCACATGCAAAACGTAGCACAGGATGGCAGGAAGACCACCAGGGACTGCCTCAGGGAGGGGCCGGACAGCCCTGGCAGAGGGGACCTTGCGTTCCACATCTGGCCCAAAACCTGGCTGAGCGGACTCAATCTGACTATTTTGAAAGGAGGGCGCGGGATGTTATTTTCGTAAAGTGGTATGTTCCACGGCTGATACCAAATACTATTAAAGGCCAAAGCCAGTAGATTTCAAACCACAATTAGGGCAGGGGGTTGTCCCAGTTCAAGGGCAAGTGGGAAATTTGTAATCCATGCTGGCAATGCCACGGACTCACTGGGCTCACGCTGGGGAATGGAGAGGGGGAGAGCCCAGGGCCAGGAGGTCTCTCCCATGGCTGCGAGGAGATCTGGGCCCGGGACGGCC